AAGATTAATCTTTGAAACTTTCAGTATTTCTAAAATAATCATTTGGACAGACTGCTATGCAAAGCGTACGGATCCGATTAAAGAGTAAATTTCTTCTTTGGAAAGTAGTGGCACAGAGTTCCCGACGTCGTATGGATAAGATAGTAAAACACGACGTACGGAATAGCGACATTGAGGAGTGGCCTTGCGTAAACACGCTCAATAATCCGCTGCTGCCTCGAAGCTGTCGTAAACATGTGTCGCGTCATAATCCCCTAGAATGTCATTTCTTAATCTCTATCTTCGTCGTTGCTCTTCTTTGAACGTGTGAGTATGCGTCTTCTGTGTTGGACTTCCAACAGCCTGACATGATAGATACACCATAGATTTGGGTTTAGATGGCATGAGAAAGATGTGAATGTCATAAGTAAATGATTCGTTTTCCTCACGCACACAGCGGAGAATCCCGTATCCATGTAAATAAAACTTGAATTATTCTAGACAAACTATGGTCTTTGCGTCTTGAGAGACGACCAGAAAGCAGCATACATGATACAGCTTTGTAATGTAGACATAGAGGAAGTAGATCTTACAGCAGTATACATGATACAGCTTTGCCTGGATGGTAGACATAGAGGAAGTTGATCTTACAGCAGTACACATGATACAGCTTTGTGTGGGCGGTAGACATAGAGGAAGTAGAGTGTCCAAGTACAACTTCCCATCCTTCCCTTCAAATCTCGACTTCCTTCATACGCTCCAAAAGGAGAGACACCCTAAGTGCTCTGAGATCAAGGAAGATAGAAAGGTGCGAATCCAGACTTACACGTTTTGAGAACTACAGCGACGATAAGTCTCTCGGCTTAACAACAAAAAATATTTTAGATCTAAGCTCCATGGCTTTCCTGGATAATTAATTACTGCTGAGAAATGTTGCAAAACACGGGACCGTATTCTGGGTACTGTAGTTGTAGACATTGATAATTAATCAATTAGAAAATAATCCGCAAACAGATTACGTCCCTCGGGCCTATTGGAAGTAGCACATTTTTGTAACAAAAGTAAGACGCCGCGTTACAGGTTAAGGGCTATCCTTGAATCTAACTACGCACATACTGCAGTATACTTGGTTGTTTTGACAGACAAACATATATACAGACAGACAGACAGACAGACGGACAGACTCAGAGCATCACCAACAACCTTTATCTAAACCAGTTCTCAAAGATGAATTGTAAACACACTTTTCTGATTTTTTATTTGTTTTGGATTTGTTGAGGGTATTTTAGTTTATTTATATTTTTTAACCACAAGAGAATTCCTGCTCACCCGGAGTGCTCCCCCATGCACGCTACATTAGCTCCGCCCCGTCAACTTTATTGGGCACGGCCGTGCAACTAAGGGGAGACAACTGGTCTGTGAGAGTCTGGCCCAGACAGGAGCCCGTCTGGAGTAGAATGAGTTACGAGTTACAGGGAGCCCACTCGCTACCCAGGAATTACCAACTTGTATCTGCTCAGTAACTAATTTTGAGAAATTTTGGGGGGTAAAATTTTGACTTTCACAATAAGTCAAGCTTTTTAAAATTTTCATTACAGATGATTTATACGATGTGAGGTTGGACAATGGTCTTAAACACTGAATAAACTTACTTACTTGAACGTTTTTTCGAATGCAATTTCCGTCAATCAGACTGGACTTAGCTGCTACGCAGTAGACCGTGGTCGATCGGACGAGACTTACTGTAGACCGCCGTATCATGGTAGACCCAAAACTAAATTGACAAAGAAGAATGTCTATTAATCTGTCTATCGCAACTCACTGTAGAGTTATATGTACCAGGAGACTTCTAAAGTATTTTCACATCATAAACGAAGGGTATTTTT